ATGCAGTTAGAGCCCACCGCCAGCAGGGGTCACACTCTCCTCTCTCCTGCAGGGACGTGAAGGCAGGAAACATCCTGCTGACGGAGCCGGGTCAGGTCAAACTGGGGGACTTTGGCTCCGCCTCCATCGTGTCTCCGGCCAACTCCTTCGTGGGGACGCCATACTGGTGAGCATCGATGGAGCTCGTTCAGTCCATGTTTTGAACAGACAACACCAACGACCAATCAGAGCGTGAATAGGACCGGACCACAGATGAGATCTCCTTCGTTTACATTTGAAAGCTTCTTGAATTTGTACCCAGGATGTGTTCAACAGCAAAATTAGCCTCATATTAGCTGAAAGGTCGTATTCAGCATCATCAGCATCATCAGCGCTGCCCTCTGAGATTTTACTTTTACCAGCTGTTGATTAAACAGCTTCAGTGCAGCTTTGTTTGTTTGCAGATGTTCAGTTTTAACTCCTGAATAATAAAATAAGTGGACAACATCTGAGTTTTTTTCTCGTAGTGCAGCTTTTTTTGTTATTTCGCTGAAACACGTTTTGCACGTTGTGCGGCGCACCGGCGGATGACTCGGCGCGTTCTCTCTGTCTTCTCCAGGATGGCTCCGGAGGTGATCTTGGCCATGGACGAGGGCCAGTACGACGGGAAGGTGGACGTCTGGTCCCTGGGCATCACCTGCATAGAGCTGGGTATGAGCTGCTGTCTGTGCTCTTAAAGTGTGAGCCTGGGGCTCTGTGATGCTAACTGTCGTTCTTCTGCAGCGGAGAGGAAACCCCCCCTGTTCAACATGAATGCTATGAGTGCCTTATACCACATCGCTCAGAACGAAAGCCCCGTCCTGCAGTCCAATCACTGGTGAGCAGCCTTGATGTGTTCCTGTGGCGCCGTGTATCCCTCTGTCCGCTGCAGTGAACTGATGTTGTTTTCGTTTCAGGTCCGATTCCTTCCGCAGTTTCGTCGACTCTTGCCTACAGAAGATTCCCCAGGACCGGCCTACCTCGGACGTGCTGCTCAATGTGAGCGTTATTGATCCAGGACAGTTTCATCGTGTTTGTTTTTAAACCCGCCCTGCTGCGTGTTCACCTGTCACTTCTATCCCTCCTCCC